CGCTGATTGGTCAAAAATTTATCGTTATCGTCCGACTGAAAAAAAAATCGCTCAGGTGAGCGATTTTAAAATCGTTATCGTCTAACGATAATTTTATCATTTTCGTTGTTGTGTGGACACTAACACAATTTTTTTTGCCAATTATCACGTGTTTACAATTTATCGTATCGTTATCGTTGTGTAGTGTGACCGGACCTTAAAACACCAACGAGGATTTGAAATGGCTGATCATTTATAAATATTCATAGCATTGAGGAAGTAACAATAAGGAATTAAGTTGTTCAATCAAGCGTATACGAAGGATAAGGAACGAATTAAAGGCGTTGTTGTTCAGACTGCTCCCGCGGTTGGTATTTGTTCGCCTTCGAAGGAAGTATATATACTGTATATGGCATCAAGTTGCAAAAAGAGGAGATTTCAAGATCCTCAAAGTGTAGAAAGAAGCATTGACAACGTCCGAAATGCTATTCCACAAACAACGCGTTATAAAAATCGTTGGAGAGTTCGTATATTTGAAAATTGGCAAAGTTGGCGGGAAAATAAAGCAGTCATGTGTGAGAGCTAGCATCCTTTCTGCTTAGATTTGCAGAATTGGCAAAATTTGGAGACAGATTAATTTGTGTTCAATGACGGCTAGTGTGATTTAAAACGCAATACCCAGAATTCGTTATATATAATTAGGTGAAGTGTGTAACATGAACATATTTTGTTGTTTGAAGTGCGATTGAATATTTTTGTACATAAAAGTTATTTCTAAATACAGTTTACTGTATTTAGAAATAATTCTAAACATAGAAATTAAATATATTTGCATTTGTTTACCCCTCAATTTCCCTATTGTTCAAAGCCCTTCCCGCTTGAAATAATTAAAGTCCTGGTTTAGACGGAGTATCCAGATAGATACACATGATCGTGATGTAAATTACACCATGTCATTGGCCGAAATGCTATGAATATCTAATGATGTGTGATGACTAGTATATGTACCAGCCAAAATGCCGTTAAATGAAATTAAATCATCAGTAAATTCTTTTTACATCGAATTTTGGGGCATCTTTATATGCGAGGATAAACTTTTTGGCTATAGGCAAGATATGAATACCTTTTTAAATGTTTGCATCGGAATCGTGTCCGAAGCATGGGTAACCTAACTTGTCTTGGAAACTGAATTTTGTTTGGTATACAAGTTTATTTATTTATTTAGCTTCGCCTTGACAAAAAAGTACACAATACAAATACAGCAATTCATATACATGAGACATAACAAGAGGCGGGGACACCACAACAGTTTACACCAATTACTGTGGGCCATAAGTGAGTGAATTCAAGCTGTTTAAAGATTTAATCTCTTGGTATAACAATACGAGAAATAATTTTGTTGTTATTTTACTTGTTGTTCTCGATATAGTGTCGGAAACAATAAGACAATATTATTCCCAAACCGCTGTCAGTTCTTACATGTAGCCGTTCATTATCCATTCCAGACCACCATTTTTACTGAGATTTGTATTTGTAATGTGTTTCCTTAATTTTCAATAATTCTTTTTCAACGCTTCAAGTAGCAATGCGCCCTAATGCGCGCTACTTTTCTAGTTTACTCTGTCTAACGCAAACTGTGTTATATCGATACTTTAATTTAATACGCCTTTCTATCTCTGTGCACATTCACTTTGTGTGGAAATTGGCGAAAAGTAGGGTAAAAAAGCCCAGGATATTGTACAACACACACTTGCCTGCAACAAACACAGTAACGTCAGATCCTTCACTCTTACGAAGTGTAGAAACAAAAAATCTGTACGTTCCATTGTACTGGATAGTAACGTTCTTTAAAATCAATGTTGAAGGCTTTGTTATTTTAAATGGTCCAGGTGAGTATTGGCGGGGGCTTTTCAACCACATCTCCATCTTGAATGATTTGAACAAAAGTGTCGTCGTCCTTTAGAAGAAATTGTCCACGATCGACCAATTAAGTCAGATACACCGACATCAATTTTCACGCTATTGTCACATCTTCTCCTGGGAAAACAACAAAGGTGACGCCACCAGGCGGAAGGGAGATTTGACCTACACAACGAAATTTCTGTTAAATATATTAATTTACAACAGGAATTTCCTAGACATTTTAATTTATTTTATTTAAAACACGAGATCCATTTCACAAGTTAAAATGTGTGCTCTTTAATGGAGACGTGTATCCTATATGCTAGTAAACTAATTAATTTCTAATAAATAAGTATCAAAATATTTACAAGTGTTACAGACTACATATGCAAAGAAACAAATATAATAATTAAGAAATTTTAGATTTAAACTCAGCAAGAGATTGAGCTCGATCTTCAACTAACTAATTAATTAATTTCTAATAAATAAGTATCAAAATATTTACAAGTGTTACAGACTACATATGCAAAGAAACAAATATAATAATTAAGAAATTTTAGATTTAAACTCAGCAAGAGATTGAGCTCGATCTTCAACTAACTAATTAATTAATTTCTAATAAATAAGTATCAAAATATTTACAAGTGTTACAGACTACATATGCAAAGAAACAAATATAATAATTAAGAAATTTTAGATTTAAACTCAGCAAGAGATTGAGCTCGATCTTCAACTAACTAATTAATTAATTTCTAATAAATAAGTATCAAAATATTTACAAGTGTTACAGACTACATATGCAAAGAAACAAATATAATAATTAAGAAATTTTAGATTTAAACTCAGCAAGAGATTGAGCTCGATCTTCAACTAACTAATTAATTAATTTCTAATAAATAAGTATCAAAATATTTACAAGTGTTACAGACTACATATGCAAAGAAACAAATATAATAATTAAGAAATTTTAGATTTAAACTCAGCAAGAGATTGAGCTCGATCTTCAATTTCGACGGGTATATCGTTCCATAGCGTAGCCCTTCTATAAGTAAAGCTCTTTTTTAAGGACTTAGTTAAGAGTTTCGGAACAAAACGTTTATGATTAGAGCCTTGCAAATTGTGTTCGTGTATCATAGAAGTTGGATTAAATTTTCTTGACAAGTAACTAGGAAACATGTTATTAACAGTTTTGTACATAAAGGTTTTAAACTGTTGAGTGCGTCTGGTTTCAAGGTTGGTCCAATTCAATGATGTTAAGATATCTGTGGACCGAATGTTGTAATTTACGGTAATAATTCTTGCAGCCCTATTCTGTAGGCGCTGTAGTTTTTGTCCAAGACCCTTGCGTATAAGCTATCCCAAACAATGCTACAATAATCAAAGTATGACTGTATTAAGGAGTTGTAAATCACGACGAGAGTTGACTGTGGAAGCAATGGTTTTAGTCTTCGTAAAACTCCAATCACCTTGAAGACTTTGGAGCTGATTATAGCTGAAACGTGATACTCCCATTTCATCTTTTGTCCAGTTCCAAATCTAAACACTTGAAGTCCTGACTCTTTTGATTTGGTTTTTCTGAGATAGTACGTACTTAATTTTTCTATGAATGAAATAAACATACATTTAGTTTTAATTGCATTCAGACTTAGTTTATTCAAGTTAATTAAGCAAGTTTTGGAGAGTTTTACAGGTAAACTACGTGAAGCGTTCCTCTTTTGAGTTTCTAAATTGATTGCAATTTTCCTCATTACTTTTGCAATTTAAAAAACTCCCTTGCAAATCCCTTGAGGAAATTTGCAATGTTGCTAAAACCCAATTAAATTTTCCCCAGTTCCTGTTAGAAGTTTCTAACTTCCTGTTACAAGTTCCTAACTTTCTGTTCTGCTCTGGGCGTTGCAATTGGCTAAGAAAAATAATCGACCAATAACAACGCTCAGAACAGAACAGGAAGTTAGGAAATTAAAACAGGAAGTTAGGAAAATTTAAAATGAAGTTTGTTTGCATTGGGATATTGCAACAGCCGATAGGAACATTGCAAATTCCCTCAAGGGATTTGCAAAGAGTTTTTCAAATTTGCAAACCTAATGAGGAAAATTCCAAATGTTACGAAGTCAACAGAGGAACGCTTCACGTAGTTTACCTGTAAGATAATCATTTACAACAGAGATTAACTTGTCTGGGTCGTTGTCCGCAAATGTCAAATTGATATCATCAGCGAATAAACGCCCATCTAATACCAATTCACTATTAGGTAGGTCGTTGATATATATATATATATATATATATATATATATATATATATATATATATATATATATATATATATATATATATTA